ACGACGCGCGGGAGGGCGACGGGCGATCTGACGAGCTGCACCGATGAGCTGCACCACGTGTGGTCTTCTGGCCTTCTCGGACCTCCACCCTTGGGCTGGTCTCCCTCCTGCTCGTTGTCGTCGTCGCCGTCGTCGTTGCTCTTCTCCTTCTCCTCCTTCTCCTCCTCCTCCTCCTCCTCCTCCTCCTCCCCTCACCCCCATCGTTTCGCTTCTGTTCACGTGCTTTTCGTCCGCCGCACCACCCCTCCGTCGCCGACGCCTCTCGGCGGGCCCGCCGAACTCGCTCGCATGGCCAGCGGATGCGGCGGCCACGCCGACAAAAAATCTCGGACCACTCTCGCGAGCTGCACTGCGGCCAGACAGCGAGGCCTTGGCTCGGGCAGCAGAAGAGGGATCCGAGGAGAAGTTGGTTGGAGGAGACGAGTCAGTGTCTCTTATTTCAGGAGGGAGAAAAACACACAGACACAATTATTTGTCGATTTCCAAGAAAATATGGGGAAATACGGGAAGTGGGGGGGAAGACAAAAACCCAGAAAATATAGGAAAATATGGGGAGTCTTTTTATTTGTGTGTATTTATTTGTGTGTCCCAGTTTCCCTTCATTATTGTGCCATCACGGCAGGCGTCAATTAGGCTCACCGTCTTGTCCGACACGTAGGCCGCAAAGGAAGGTCGCATGGGCGGCATCGGCGAGTGGATGCTGGAGGGCAGTGCGGAATTGCCCTTTTGAGGCCCAGGTGTGGCTGGAGCGCGTCGAGACCCCGGCAGACGTGGCGGACTGCGGCAAGGATGAAGATCTCGCCAGGCAGTGCCAGAGGGAATTGGCGGTTGTCAAGTCACGTTCGCAGAGGCGTTCTGGGTACTTCTCCCGTCCCAAGCATCTGGCACGCCAGAAGGGTTTGGGCCGTAGACATGCGCCGCGAATTATGTGGTTGAGCAGGCTCTCCCCAAGCATTGTGCCGTGTCCAGCTTCGGGTGCGCGGGCTTCGTTCGACTTTATCAGCGTAAGTTTACATACGCACAACTTGTTGTTTATGCCTTTATTGTCGCTCTTCAAATCAGCCGAGGAGACTGTCCTTGGTTCGTTTTTGAGTCCATGTCGGTGGTGTCCATGCCGCTGAATATATCTACCGTTGGGTTCTCGGACTGTTTTTTTTACGTCGATGTGTAACTTTTCCGGAATCCTGGGAAGATCGCTCGCCCTTGCGGATAGGGCAGCTTTTTATTCACATATCGATTGACGGTGGACATCACGGCTCTCGTCGTACAGACCAGAGCTTGATTCGGCGACGTTCACTCGGACGCTCAAGGTCGCGCGCATCATGAGGCCCTCCCAGGTGATGCGCGCGCGCAAGTTCAAGGGTATGCTCGATCGTCTCGGATACATTCAGACCTTTGCCGCGAAGATGATCACCAGACGTCTCTTCAGAGCCTGCAGATTCGAATTGATTATCCTACGGATTAACCGCACGATCGCTTGCATGGGGGGCTTCCCTAACTGGGAGGACGAGTCTCATAACTCTGCACTGCACCCGCTACATGGGTCTGCAGACTGGTGGACTTGCTGGGAACGGGATTCAATTGTAGATGCAGAGGCAGAGCCGGGAAGAAATCAAGAGGGGAGGATCGAGGATTGATGTCGTCGTCGGACCGGCGTATGAGCGCCAGGCTGTACTCCCTTGAATCGACTGGCTCGCCTTAGCGCGGGATATGATAATCTACGGAACGAAGAGGGAAGCAGGATGCACCCACCTCCTCGTGCTCGCACTCCTCGGAAAAAGGCCTCTGATGACGAGCTGGCCTCCGGGGGCTTGCCTGGGCGCTCCGGCGAGGTGCTCCTCACGGGCGTGCGCCTGGGCCCTGGCACTCCTGCGGCGGAGGGCCTCCGCTCGGTGGAGGGCGATCCTCGCCTGCTGCTCCTCCGAGAGCTGGGGAGGGGAAGAGGGAGGAGGCGGAGTCGGAGGCGAAGGAGGCGGAGGCGAGGGGATGAGAGGGGAGACCTCCACAGCCCACTGCTCGGTCGAAGTCGGCCAGCTCTGAAGGCGGGGTCAGGCGGTACCAGAAGGGTCCAACGGCGCTTCCTCCTGGTTCGGGGGCTGCAGGACAAACTCCATTCCCTTCGGTTACTGGGAAGAACGATGAATTTCAGCGTTGCCGCTTGCGAAGTCTGGAGCTTGGACAAATTTCTGAACACAATTTCAGGCCACGGAACATACATATGCATGATATTGTCTAGCATATCCTGGCGGTCAGCTTCAGACACAAAGTCAGCTGCTTCCTCTGATGCTACCACCTGCGACACACTGTCTAGTATGGCGTCAGCTACTGCTTTTAACAAGCTGCTGGAGTAGGTTTTCTTGGACTGGGTTCCCCAAGCCCCGTCCGCCTTGCGACCAAGGAGCGTCAAGTGGGAGCCTTTGCCATGAGAACGTCTGCCCTGGCCTGGCGTGGAGCGGAGCGCCTCCTGAAACTTAGGCATACGTGGTCCCCTATCATGCGTGTCGGTGCTCTTCCGACTGCCGCCACGCTTGCGTTCGTTAGCTGATGTTCGCGCTGATGGAAGTCGGTGGCGGAAGCAACTGGAGAAGAGACGAGAGCGACTAGGGGGGGGCACCTTCATGAGGTTGGGGCCGATCTGACCCAAGTGGCGGGGATGGGGTGCTCCATCCCCCCCCAAGTCCCAGCCCTAAAGTGTTCGGACAGCATACGCACTACAGCCTGCAGAAGCTGTCGGCCTGCTGCTTTTGGTGCCCGGGATCCCCCAAACATCTTCAAGGGTCCGAAGGGGAGGGGGGCTCCCCTCTCACCGCCTCGCCGCGCTCCGAGTCTCGCAGGGGCCCCCCCCTCTCCCGTACTTACGTTTCGCGTGTCTCGGAGGTGACTTATCCCAAAACTGCTGGTGGCGACGTCTGTGAGATCTCCTCTGGTAGCGTCTATGGCGATGTCCAGGGACAGGCAGAAGAGCTCCCACTGAGGCGAAGGATGGGTGGAGGAAAGGTGCAGCTGTATGTCCCTGGACCTTCGCTTGCTGCGAAAAAGGTTGAGAACAAAACATTGTGGGCGACACATGTTGTATGGGAATCGGCTCCGACGAAATTCCTTTGAAATCCGGAGGCCGAAACGGCCAGAACCTTTCGTCGGGCGAAACTTCCTCGACGCTGTCCGTGAAACCGGGTCCAGAGAGAGCCAAGCACCTGAAAGTGGGTTCTTCCGAAAACGCAGCATCCGATCTTACTCGTACAGTCGGACCGACACATGAGATCGAGGTAGGTTCGGGGAGGGTGCCCTAATGTTCTTCGTGTTTGTTGAATGTTCTTGTGCATCCTTGGAGAGGCCACCCTTGAATGTTCTTCAGTTTGGTGCCTTTGTTCGCTCGTTTGGCCGGCGGAGGGTCGCATGTTCTTGCAGGGCGTGATTCTGGCCTAGGCTCGGCTGCAGCACGTCGCGGGCCTCAGCATCAGCCAGAGGAGAGCGACGGCATCTCGAGCGAACGGATCCCCGATAGCTCGAGCTCCCGCTCTCCCGCTCTCCCTCGCACCCGCCGTGCTGGGGCCTCGGGCCTCCATCGAAACCAAGCCGTGCTGCTCTCCGTGCTGCTGCTGTGGTGGCGGCTTCCTCACTCGGCTGCTGGCGTCCATCCACAGCGCCGTCGGACGGCGTGCTCAAAGAGTCAGAGGCAGTCAGAGGAGGAGAAGGCACCACTGCCTTCCCCTCGTTTTCCCCTTTTTGGGCCTCCTGGGAGGCCCTCGTCGCCACCGCTGGATTCGCGTCGAAATCCTGGTCAGAACGCACCCGGGGAGAGGTCCGGGGAGTAGCGGTATCATGACCTTGTGATGTCCCCAACGAGAGCGAGTGCGCATCGAGGATACGAAAAAGCCAAGTTCTCTACCGGCGGCTTGCGGGGAGCAGATACCGTAAGACAACCACGACAGCGCCTAGCATCTCCTGGATGAGATTCAACACGATGTATACATGTCCAGTGTCCTCGAGAATACATGCTGTTCGAGGCCCTAGATGGTGAAGACTTTGATTTTACACCAGCTGCATGTGTAAGTAGGCAGGGCTTCTTGGGCCTGCACCTGAAGAGGATGCAGGGGGTTCAGTAACCGACCTGAGCTCCCCGGCGTGGCATATAGCCTGGAAGGCTTCGATCTCGGCCACGTGGGCCAGAGTGCCCCTGGTGGAGTGGGCGACGTGGGCCTGCAGGGCGCTCTGGAGCAACGCCTTTCACCTGGCAGCCGGCCGAACCCTTCCCCAAGTCCTCCCAAGCCTTGAGGTTCTACTGAGGCCCTGGCAAATCCTTCAGTTTGGGGTGGTGACGGCGTGTACACTCGATATCTTCGTAGACCTGATGTATCCACGATGCCTGGCACTGCTGTGCACAGTGTCCTATCAAGGCAAGAAGGTGCACGGGTCCATGATGTAGCAGCTTGCCGAATAATCAAAACCCGAGGATCCGAATAATAGTTTGTAAGTGGGGACGTTCGACCATGGCCAAGTTTGAGTAGAGGTAAGCGAGGACTGGCCAAAGCGAGGGCATCGCACGACTGCTCGAAGCAT